TTTTTAATAAAGTATTTAATGAATTTTTATTAAATAACATGTGGATATGTTATAAATTATGCAGTACAGTCTCTTTTTTAGCATTCGGAAAGCGGCGGCAATAATTGGTTACATTTTGTAATGTATATTGTTTTTCTTCTTCATCTTTTGTTAAAAATTGGTTATATTCAGTCATTAATTTAACACTTCTCTCGGCTGCATCATTAACAACTTTTAATTTGTTAATAATTTCGAAACCTTTTCTATAATCCGCGTTTTCTAACCACTGGGAAGGATCTATTTCCAGAAAATTTAAGTTTATATTAAATCTTATAAAAAAGTTTTTTGTATATGTTACGAAAAACTCAAGCCCTTTTTTTTACGAGATTAGGAATTTCTTCTACTTTAATCATGACTCGCTTAAAACGCTCGTAATTTTTCTCTTCGTCATAATCTAAAGCTTTTGACCATTTTTCTTTTACATTCAAATAGCAAATTATTATCAAAACATGCAAGCGCAATGGTTTCTGGATTCAAGTACCATAAACATGAGGATACCACTTAAAAAAAAACGCGTCAACAATAGTACCTCATGGGTGACGTGGAAAACTGTTGGAAACACGCTCCTCGAGGCTCGAGCGGCTTGTAGGCAGCATGCGGAGTGGCGAGGTAAAGGGAACAGCGGTGGGCGGAGATAGTCGAAAATCGGCCGTCACGTGCATTTTTTGCCGAGCTCTGGCCTAAAACAAGCTTAGACCTTTATGTGACCTTCAGAGGTCAAATTTGGCAGTGTTCAAGGTCATACTCGAACGTGAAATTTTCTGCTCTTTTCATTTCTGGGGTCAAAAGTATGGAGTTCCATTCAAAAAATTTACCTGACCTTGAAATGACCTTCAAGGTCATTGTCAAGGTCAAATCCGAGGTCACCGTTAGATAGCCAGGAAAAAATCATAAAAACCTGGTACTTCGCATTTTTTTTTATATTTTTCGAGTTATTCTGCTCTTCCCGGACTTTTATAACACCCTGTATATATAGATGAAGTCTTATGGCTACATGTACAAAGTGAAGATCAAATATGTCATATTGAAAGTATATGAGTAACTAAAGTTATAAGTAAAAGCTTCATTGAATAATCTTAAGATAAACATACGTAATATTTTATCAGTAATTTTCGAATCTCGAAATTGTCGACGTTTGATTAATGATAACAAAGTATTAATGAAAGCGTCATAATCGATATAAAAACTTTTAATTTAATCTTCCTATAATATATTTATTATAGTTTTGAATTACAAATCGCAACTTTACTTTTTAGTCTATGTCCACCGATTTTAGTGTTTCGGTCCACTGTGCGGCGGGTCGAGAAAGGAGGCGGCGGACAGCCGCAGGTCAGGAACGCTTCTCGATAGAGAAGTCAGGAACTGATGCAGAGACCAAGTGTCTCTTATCGTGAAAAAGGCGGCATAAGCCGAGATCAGGAGCGCCGCCGGAGATAGCGGTGGCAGTCGATGCAGTGACCAAGTGTCTCTCACCGTGAATGATATGTGAATGCTCTTCAAGAGCCCCGATATGCCACATAAATAATAAAAAACAATGCAGTAGCAATATTCTCACTCGTAAAAATTAGATAAGCGAAGAAAGAAAAAAGCGAAAGTCTGTTGGTGCCTGCGTAACTAGGCAACCAGCCACGCTCACAAAATGGCGCCGTCTCCCCTTTGCTGCGAGAACATTGCCGTGACCCCGATTGAGTCGCCGTATGAAATGATCATGCTGATCCCTTGCGACTCTATGTCGCACGCTTGTTCAAACAGCACTTAACAAAGTTACTGAATGTCAATTGAATTTAATTATAGTAATAAGTATAACAATTACGTATATAATTATACACACAAATATTCAATTACATTATTCAATAATTTAATATTATATAAATATTTCTTTCGCGGTCGATATTAGTCATATTACAAGATTTTTCTGTTAAAAAATATAAAAACCATGAGAAAAAAGTATTTTCAAGATTTGTCCCCGCAATATAATTTGCCATCATCTGAAGAATCCATCATATGGAGAATAATTGTAAAATAGAATTTTCGATGCTATTACGACGCATCCTTTCCGTTCAATATCATCGAATTGTAGACATTTCTTCTCTATATGCTTCCATTTGTATAGGAAGTAAGGTCGACAATATTGATGCGCGTAAGTCGGAAAATTACGTGCTACAAGCTTTCATTTTACATAAAAAGCATAACTGCAAGAACTTAATTTCTTCTATGTTAAGTTTAAGAGGGAATTATCAAGAATGAAAACAAACGTATCTACAATCGGAAACGGAGAGCCTGATAAATATAAGTAAAACGATTTAATTGCTATAAAAAGAACTCAAGGAAAACTGAATTAAAGTTTGCCATGAAATACTTAGGTCCATACCGGGTTAAACGAGTTCTTCGGAGTGAAAAATACGAGGGTTGCCTTTTATATTTCGGGAATAGAGAACAAAAAAAGGAAATTAATCATCGTACATGGGTTTACTGTTTTTCAAAATATTCTCCATGAAGATCAATACACTTTTGCATGCGCTTGAACCAATTTTTGAAGCACTTTTTCCACTCCGATTGAGGTACCTCCAAAACATGCATTTTGAACGCATCAACCGCTTCTTCAGGCGTCGAAAAACGTTGACCTCGTAATTTATTTTTGATTTGCGGGAATAAAAAGAAGTCATTGGGTGCCAAATCAGGGCTGTACGGCGGATGACCCATCAATTCGACTTTTTCAGTTCTCAAAAAGTCTTGTTTGAGCCGATGTGTGAGAGCTCGCATTGTCCTGATGGAGAATGATGCGTCTTCGGCGGTTGGTTTCGCTTATTTTTCCGAAGACTTCTGACAAACAAATGGTTGTGTACCATTCAGAATTGACCGTCCGACATTGCACTAATGGTACAGTTGCCATATGTCCGGTTTTTCCGAAAAAACAGGCGACCATTTGATTCGAAGTGCTTCATGCGCGAACAACTTTTGTTGGATTTGGCTAATCTTGAAAGACCCATACAGTCGACTGCTGTTTACTTTCGGGCTCATACGCATAGATCCATGATTCGTCACCTGTTACGATATCATAGACGTGTTTTGAAGCACCGCAATCGTATTTCTTGAGCATTTCTTTCGACCAATCGACACGAGCCTTTTTTTGAGCGATTATTAAATTATGTGGGATCCAACGCGAACAAATTTTTTTGACAGCCAAATGTTCATGCAACATTGAATGTATGTTGGTCCCACTAATGCCCAAGGATGCCTCAATCTCACGATAAGTCACATGACGATCTTGCAATATCAGTTCACGCATAGCATCAATGTTTTCTGGAACAACAACCGATTTTGGACGACCTTCACGAAATTCATCACTAAGCGAACTACGGCCACGATTGAATTCCGTATACCATCGATATATAGTGGTTTTTGATGGTGCTTCATCGCCAAAAGTCGAATTAAGTTCATCAATGCACTGTTGAGATAATCCACGTCGAAAGTTGTAAAAAATAATCACACGGAAATGTTCACGACTTAATTCCATTTTTTGACCGACATCAATTTTTCATGTCACTGTAAACAACACAAATGGCGCATGGACATCAAAACGTTCTGAGTAAGTATACTGACAAAAAGTCGAACTTTACGTTAGGAACGTCGGTTGTCAGATGGCAGCACCTGGATCGTCCATTCCCGAAATATAAAAGGCAACCCTCGTACATTGTCGAGATACCGCTAGGACACGGGGAAGGTCCCCATACAACATCTACAGCGGTTGATTTTATGAAATCCTGGAATACGATGATTAAAACATATTCACCTGAAGAAGACTGATATACAGAGTGTTTATTTTAATGTCCTACCCCAAATAACTCTTCGGTATTGAAGTTTCAAGGAAAATGATCTGAATAAAAGTTGTAGGGATTTAAGTGAACATTTTTTTTTTGGTAACGGTGGGGAAATCCATTATGGATACCCCCACCCCTTTGGGGAGGGCGGGGATTATGCCGGACTCCTATCGGTTAAAATCCCACCGGGGTGCCTACCGCTCGGACCATCAGGGCAACTACGCCTGCATTCCTTCCCCGACATCTCGGCCCTAGGGCTCTCATGTAGCCCAAGTACCGCGCCCCTCCCTTTTAGAAGTCACGGGCGCGGCCAGGTTGGTCTTTAAGTGAGCTACCTTATGATGACCTTGACCTCTATTTTCAAGGTCATGTGAAGGTCAACGTGCGTTTTGTAAATGGGGACCCTTATTTTTTATTACACTTTTTTTCTACTAGTTAATTTGAACAACTTTTGTCTAAAACATTTTTTATTTGTCTAATATTTTTTTAAATATTTGAAGAAAACTTGATAACATTTCAATATTTAACTTACGATATCTCGCTAACTATTTGTTGGAAGAAAAAGTGGTACTAAACTTTCTTGCTTTATTTAGTCTCAAGAATATATTGTTACAATAGCGCCCTGATTTTTGTTAATTTGATGATTTTGAAATTTCCAAAAATCAGTAAGTTAAAAGTAAAGTCAAGGCGCTATTGTAACAATATATTCTTGAGACTAAATAAAGCAAGAAAGTTTAGTACCACTTTTTCTTCCAACAAATAGTTAGCGAGATATCGTAAGTTAAATATTGAAATGTTATCAAGTTTTCTTCAAATATTTAAAAAAATATTAGACAAATAAAAAATGTTTTAGACAAAAGTTGTTCAAATTAACTAGTAGAAAAAAAGTGTAATAAGAAATAAGGGTCCCCATTTACAAAACGCACGTTGACCTTCACATGACCTTGAAAATAGAGGTCAAGGTCATCATAAGGTAGCTCACTTAAATTCCTACAACTTTTATTCAGATCATTTTCCTTGAAACTTCAATACTGAAGAGTTATTTGAGATGGGACATTAAAACGGGACACCCTGTATATCTGAGGACAGATGACGTCGGATGGCCGAGAAAGAGAGAGAGAGAGAATGTAAGATATAGGCTAGTTTAAATGTTTCTTTATATTATCGCATATGTTGTGCACAAAGATGAGTTCATATTAAGTTTAATTTTGATTTTATTATTTAGTTTTAGTTAGTATGCTTAGTTAGCTTTTGAATATGGCATGAACCGAAACGAGCGCTAGCTAGGCGACGTTGCCCGAAACATAAGAAAAGTAGAAACGCTAGACGTTAAAAATGAGGGCGCTAAAAAAAAAGGAAAGATAAAAAAAAATAAGAGAGGTGACAGGAGAGAGATGAAAGATGCACGAATCAGCCTATTATTGGTGTTTTCTTACTTAATAAAGTGCATAATTTCTATATATACATTAATTAAGGGAGTTACAAAACTACTATACGCTACAATATGCTTCCATTTGTATAGGAAGTAAGGTCGATAACACAACATTGATGCAAGTAACTCGAAAAGTTACGTGCTAGAAGCTTTCATTTTACATAAAAAGCGTAACTGCAAAAATTTAATTTCCTCCGTATTAAGTTTCACCACTCCTTCCTGGTTGTCAATCGAAAGCAATGTGCCAACGGCTTCTCGGTCCTCGCCTAGAATCACTTTCACTCGATCACCGCGCGATGGTACTACAGGTTCCAGTTGTTCGCAACCCAAATTCACAACTCTGTCCTCGGTAGGTAAATAGACAGTGCACATGCCACCCTGTAAATAAAACAGCACGTTGTTAGAAGTCGATAAAGCTGTGTATACATGAGTATCAATATAGCTAAAAAGACCAATTAACTTATTTAAAATTATGCTAATAAAAGACACTATATAAAAAGACAGTTTACCGAAATTCCGCGAATGACTGCTTGCTGACCAGCGAGCGCAGGGTCATCATGAGAGTCGCGAATGCGTACTTCAATATCCGTTGTATGCCATTCCGAACCGCCTATGGTACTAGAACCAACACCTGTATCCAACCCTGCGCCAGGTGTTTGTGGATTATATGGGCTACCTGTAATTTCATTTATTTCTTATAACTCGTAATTGTCGTATGTATACTTATGAAATAGAGACTTTATACTTTTTCCAATTATACTTATAGAGGCTATTATTTGTAAAAAAATTAATCACAAAGTTCACGTTATACAATTCCTTCAATTAAAAAGAATTATTCACCAGGTGTCATGGGACTATAACCCATAGGAGATGGAGTCGCAAATGCTCCATGCGGACTTGTGGTATATCCAGTTCCACTTGGGGACGGAGTAGCAACATATCCTGTAGGACTTGGACTCGCGGTGGCACTTCCAGCAGGACTAGGACTAGGCTGATACGAACTAAAGCTTTGTTCCGATCCGTACATGGTGCCTGGAGTTTGTGGAGTGAAGGGACCTCCGGTGGGAGGATATCCGGGCGCGTAGCCAGGCGAGCCGCCTTCTTCCATACTGTAGCCATCGAAATCGTTTGTTCTGGCGGGTGTATTTGTGACAGTTGGGTCCCAAGCTCCCGACTGGCCTGGTGTTCTCGAACCATCGTGAGACGGCGTCATTGAACCGTAATGAGGAGTACGAGAACCATCTATAAAATTAGAAATAAGAAAATGTAGACACTAAAGGCTGCTGTTTTGCCAGTAGAATCAGCAAGCGATTAAAGAGAAGTAAAAAAACATATAGATTGCATTCCGTGTTCTCATTTTTCTCTGATCGCAGTTGGGCCGAGACAAGTAGCATGTAGGGTTACTCACTTTCGTACATAGGCGTTTGAGAGCCGTGCATAGGCGTCTTTGATCCATCTCTGGCATACATCGGTGTTTGTCCGCCAGCTGTGTACGCTGGAGTTCTGTTGTAGCTGCTGAAACCACCATCTTTCGACGGCACACCAACATTGGCAATATGAGATCGGTCCACGGAAATGGTCTGACATGTGGAATGCAATTCTACTCGAGCCGTGGTCTCCGTCGCGTCCTTTACGATACCGACATTGCCCTTGTAAGGCCCGCCTGTTATCTTGATGGTAGTTCCAATTAATTCTCTGTCGCGTCTCGCACCACCTCCACGACCTCTGCCTCTTCCAGCCCCACCACCACCTCTGCCGAAGCCTCCCCTATAATTACAATAAATAAAAAAAAAATAGGAAAACATATTTGTACCTTTTTGTGAAATTGAGAGAAGTTGGCCATGTGTTTCAAAGATGAAGAAGTAATCAGCATCGCTTACATGAAAAATGAATGATTTTGATTATCTTTATATATTTATTGAAAATGGATAAAAACTATCTGTTGTAGCTACGAAGCAAAGCGATATAACGAATTGATTAATAACAGGTACTAACCCGCTGGGATGCATCGGAGAAGCAATCCTAGGCGACATAAATCCAGCAACTGCCGACATGGTTGTCGCGTTCGTTTTGGTCCCACCGGATAGCTGTAAGTGTCTGGTCTTACACACAAATATTCCACCGTTATCGACAAACATTCGTGAATGCAAAAAGGCGAAGCTCCTATACAAGTGTTTGATTTCACCACCTCGGCCTGCATGCGGCCCGTCAACAACTTTAACGATATCCTTCTTCTGTATGGTATTTTGCTGTGAGTCTAGGGCAACCGCATTTCGATTCTCTCGCCGTTTCGTGAGACCTTGCGGCCTCGCCTCGACCACCTTCCCGTGCATGGAGAGAACGTGGAAATTTTCACGTTCCAATCGAACAATAACGCCAACCGTTTGCGCGTCGAGTTGTACTAGATCGCCCCATTGAAATTGACCTAGACTATCGACGCCCGTTGCCATGTCCGAACATAGTTGCAGATCCCTAGGTAGCACCTCCAACTCGTGCATCGACAAATCGGAGAATAGAACCACTCTATTTTGTTCTACCCTGACGATCAAGCCTGTGTCGCCTTCGTATCTTCCTGCTACGACCTGGCGATTAATTAAAATGTCATAATGTTAAGCAATTCTCTTACAAATAAGTATATTCCAAGATTTCTCCCTTTCTTAATTATTTGATACTTTACCTTTACGTGATCACCCATCGTAAAGTATTTCCGTAGTTCAGAAGCTTGGAATTCCAAGGCTTCTTTAAGCTCTTCATGCTTCGGCATGACCATAATCATGTTTCCATCTATAGAAACGATTTTTCCCTGTAGATTTATCAATTCACCTTCGCACACTTCTACATTATCCCCGTTGCTAAAGGAATGAGTTACAGCTTGGTCTTCCTTGCCGGAAACTCCGGTCCCCGGAGTTCCGCTTAGATCTATTTCAACACCTTCCGGTGCTTCTTCGAATCTTTCTAATTCAGAAAGTGTAGGCTTTACACCTTCCGCGATAATAGCACTTGTGGTGAAGTTCTTATAAAGAAAACTGTATAAAATAAAGGATAATTAATATAAGAAGTTAGACAAAAAGTAATTATATGTAACACGTTATCAAGAAATATGTTTAGACAAACCCTTTACGACTGTATCTATTTCCTTCGAATATGAGAAAGTCTCCGTCGCTAGTAACTTCTCCACCAATGGCGCGAATTGCCTCAGGATCGAAAGGCTTCGCCGGGGGTCGTCTCTTCTTCTTGCGTTTCAGAGCTTCCGATTCACTTTGCGCTGTTCTCAACGCACCACGCGGTCTGGTATAATCGATTCTCGGTAGCAACTTCAGATGTACCTGATTCTGCGCCAAGTCGACATAATCAACTTGAGCTATGTCGTCTTTATAAATGCCCCGTTTCAAACGAACCCACTGTTTAGCTTTCAAACCAGTCTGCTCTTTAACCACTCGCAATACATCGGTCATCTCTTTGATCGGCACCATTTGCTGCTTCCATATACCCATCCTTAGACTTCCAACACTCTCAATAGCCGCTTTTACATGTGCCTGTTTGAAGGCTTCTATATAGATATATCCTTTAACACCTTCCGGTGCCACGATAGATTTTATTTGGAGAGGTTCACCTGAAATTTTAAAATATCAAAATTATTGCGGATGAACATAATACAGTTTCACAAGTAGAAAAATATATCTTTTCAAAATTTAGATCTTACCAGAAAATTGATATGTAATAAATTTCCGCATCAATAGGAGCACAGTCGATTTTTCTTCTCCTATACGACACTTGACCATCCATAAATTCGGATCTTTCACACCAGGCAATAGAGTTTGTTGGGTAATTTCATCACTCATCTCTTCACCACCATCGCCAAAGTGTCGAGCGGCGATTGATTCGTCAGCATATTTTTTTCTGAGGTACTCTTCAATCTCATCTTCTTTCTGTGAACTAATAAGGAATGTGTTAATTAAAAAAAAAAAATACAATTTTTTATGGTAAAAATTATATATAGAGTTCACTAGAATCTAATATCATGTCCATAAAATCTTTATACTTACTCCCACAGATTTGTACCTCTACGTCGCCCTTCAATTTCACGTGCAGTTGGTCCTAATTCATCTACTTCATTTCCTACAATACCAATTTCTTGGGCACCTTCCTCCCATTCATCATCATCTTCAACTTCATCATCTACTTCAGCCTCATCAATGATAAAGCCACCAAATCGATCTTTCTTCTTCTTCTTTTTCGGCCTATCATCATCTTCTTCATCTTCCTCTTCATCGTATTCACTGCTATTGTCTAAGTCCTCTCCTATAAACACAGAAGTCTATTGTAAAAATAAACTACTTAAAATATATTCAAAACTAAAAGCTTTCTAATTTATACCTTCAGGTTCTTCCTCTGGTTCCACAGCTTCCTCATCACCTGATCTGACTTCTTCTGCTTCATCCATCTTTACATCTCCATCTTCAGAGCTATAAATGAAATAAGCATTGCTTTTTTATTTTTCATAAAGAAATACAAATATAACTACTCTTAAAAAAGCATTCATTAAAAATAAAAGCATTGTTAAGTATGCCTCAGTCCTATGTAAGGGATGAGGCCTTGCTATAATCCATCAGCTGAGCAACTAGAGTAGCAGAGATGAAATCTAGCTTTTTCAACAAAAAGCATACTTAACTCTTTCACATACAACAAGTCTGACTTATGGTGCTGTTTCTGAGCCGCATATGGAAATCATGAGTCTGACTTGTTATATCTATTACCGTAAAGAGTACAAACATAAACAAATAAGAATAAAAGGGAAACAATCATGGTTCAGTTATTATGGATACACTATGTTAGACATAATTATCAGACAAGCTTTTTACTTTGTGCAAAGAAACGCCCATGTTTCGTTCATGATTTCATATTTCTTTCAGTTTATATAGTGAAATTTAATTTAAAAATTCTTAGAAGATATAAGAAGATAAATATGAAAAATAAAAGTAGTTCTTGTGAAAACAGATATAATAAAAGTTCTCTTGATACATTAGATACTGAAAATAATATTCTTGACCCTCACAATAGTGATGCTATTATACCAATAAGAAATTATACCAATTAGAAAGCATATAAGATAAATGAAAATAGTGGAAATGAAAATATATGCTCTGAATTGAAAAAATCATGAAAAAGCTATCATTTTCATTATGTTATTATTTCTTAATATACTAAAAGGTTTCAATACATTATAAAATGTTTTGTTTTTTTAATATATTACATATTAAAAGTGTATATTCATAACAAAACCAATTTGAATCAATGTATAAAAGTTTTTTATTTGGATATTGTTGTCTTCCACAAGCCCGGTGTCTAACGAAGCGGATCGAGCGAAAAGCTACTTTATGACCACAGGATGTCACTTGGGCCCATTTCGCGAGCGCCTCTGCCAGTCACTTTTGCCTGTGCGAAGCCAAACTAATTTATACGCAAAGGCGTTAAGCTCGGTAGCATTCAATATACTGCTATTTATACTGCAGAAAAGCAATTATTTGAGATCGAATCAATGAAACAAAAAATGACTATAAATTAACATATGGAATTTAGAGACTATCCAGATGTTACAATATATAGTATAAAAATAAGATATGATTAGGTTATGTACGCTGATTAGGAAATTTCAACTTACCCAGACGGTGACCGGGAACGCGAACGAGATCTGGATGGGCTCCTTGATCGTGAAGTGGAACTTCTACTGCGAGAAACACTCCGAGATCTTGTTATGGGACTACCCGCATCACTAATCGCTGCAAATTTTATCACATAACATTCACACTTCACATATTTTACTACCATATATAAATTGATATAAATATTATTATTTTTGTAGACAAAATATTACAGAAATTACCTTCTGAATCCGACATTTCAACGTTATTTAATCAGCTAGTACTGTAAGCATCTGCTGCTTTACTGATTCACTACCTACTCTTTTCACTACCTAGGATACAATCGCTCAGTTCAGTTCAGTTCGTTATATGGCTCCGGCTGCATACAGCAATGTCCATACGCCACTTCCCAGTAATATGATGTAAAAAGGAAAACAGGGACAGCACGTACGCAATCCCCACGATCAAAAAATTATGCGTAGTTATAAGAACCATATCCAACCACCACAGAGGCGAACAAAAGACTATTGGATACAATCGCATGGAGTTCGAAATAGCGGAACGGAAAAGAAACGAAAACGGCAAATAGAACCATGGCACATAAACGAACTTAAGCAGTAAAGCTTGGTCTACAATGGCAGTAAGCAGTAAGAAGTAAGCGTAAGCGGTAAGAAATAAACCAATCATAGTCGATTATGACAAAAATAATCAACTATGGTTGGTCCATTTCTTACTGTTCACACTTACTTCTTACTGCTTACTGCCATTGTAGACCACGCTTTATGAGTTGTGTATTATGCGTTATGTAGAAGTCTGTGCTCTGGCCCTAAACGTAAACAGTAAGGCCCAGTTCCACAAAATCAAGTTTAAACCGTGATTATCTGAACTGATGTTACATTTAACGGCATGGTTAAACTTATATCGCGTTCCATATCATGTTCTAGTTACACGACATTTTCCCGAAAAGTAGAGGGGATAACGTTGGCATCAACGAAAACCTCTAGGCAACCTAATTTCAATTTCCGTCGATTAGTAACACTGTTCAAGTAGTAGTCTGCCAGTTTGTTGAATCTTTTTGACAGATGTGCGCGCGTGTTTATAATAAATATTTACGATCGTAATATTTTATAAATGTAAGTATAATATATATATAAAATGTATATATGTATATGTATATATATATATTATATATAATATATATATATAAAATATATATATATATTACGACATTTATTTAAAATAAAATTAAGTAAAAATATTACAAATAAGAGAAAACGTAAAATTTATTAATATGAACGAAATGAAAAACAATGATATTATACGTATAAGTGGATTAATTATTATATGCAAATAAACAATTTGAGTTCTTCAATGTTTTAACGTATCTGGATAAATATTACTTTTAGTTGTGGCATCGTTCTTCGCATTTCTGTCATCGTCAATAACAGAATTAAGTCTATACAAGATGAAAGGAGCATTAATAATGAAAGAAGTAAATGGAAAATAGACAAATATATATCAGATAAGTAACAAATATTCTCATGAAAGAAAAGATTATGTATGTATGTATGTGCTATCTGTAATTGTAGATGTTGGATTGATTCTTTTCTTTGATTAATTGTTTTGTTCCAGCTTCCCAGCTAACCAGGAGTACTTGCAGAATGTCAATAGCCAGAAGAACAACAAGGAAAATTAAAAAAAGAATAAGAAGTATTAAAGTATTTATTAAATAATCTCTTTTTTTCCAACTAATTCAGTATTCACATTCAGTAATGAATGTAATATTAATAAAATATTAAAAATTTAGATTTCTTGGATTTTATTCCAAATTTTTTGGACTTCAACTTCTTTCTGTTTGAAGGTATCATACTCCGATTTCGATAAGAATTGTGGATGTCTTATAGAAGTTCATAGAGATTTATTAGCTTTATAGAGCTTTATCAGATCTAATATTTACAAAATTTATTACCTTTCTTAACATGTCTAATATAATATATACACATCTAATATAATACATAATTTTTGGCATTATGTTCTTCTATTATTGTGTACAGAGTTGGACATATTTGAACTTCGAGCGCAATTAAATTTACTCATATATTTACATAGAATGTAAAGATATTTTGCAATTAAATGAACTAATTACTAATAATGAATGAAATGATAAATTATTTTATTCATTCTATCATGTCTCATTGTAATTTTTTATAATTGATATTTGTAGTTGGAGTACTGTCGCAAACATTCATCAGGAAAAATAGTTAATTTTTCATTATATTTGTAATTGATTGTTACTTTTATCAATAAGAACAGCTTTTATGTTGTTATTTATAATCATATAATCAACAATATAAGAGTTTGTTGCATTCATTATTAATATTTCCTACCATGTTTTTTTCTTATAAGTAATCATGTAAATCATATTAAGATTTTTTGAAATCTGTTTAATATTTTTTTTCTTTAACGTTTAATAGATTGTTCAGCATTAGAATACTTGTCAAGTCCAGTAAATATTTGTGTTTATGTGTAAATATACTAATTACAAATTATAAATTATATTATATATTATAAATTATAATATATATATTATAATATATATATATAATATATATATATAATATATATATTATAAATTATATTACAAATTATAAATAGCAGATTGTCTTCATCATTTTTTTTTCATCGTTTCTTACTAATCGTTTCTTTAAAACTTACTTTTATGATTTTTATTTTAAATTTCTGTGATGCGGTGAAGAAGTCTGTAATATTTTTCAACTTTTTTGAAATCAAATATTGCGCTTCATTATGATTTTGTTTTTCCCGATTATCACTTTTTCCGATTGTCTTTTTGCACTCTTACAGTGGTATTATGGTGAATGCCATTGTTTATTGTACTGTTATTATCTTATATTATATTTCGAGATGACAGAAAAAAAGAAGTGCAATACTGAGTGCAATAAAAGAATACAACATCCAAAATTAGAATACGAGAGATATTATTTTTCCATTATAATAAATCCTATAGGGATACAATGTAAGCAGATTTCTTAAACAGAATAAAATTAATTCATTAAATTATTATGCCATAAAAAATCTGATTTATGAATAGAAAAACAGCTTATAATTTAATAATTGTTTAATCGTATATACTATCTTCTTTTGAATCACAGTTATTAATTTTTGAGAATCTATCTAAATTTTTATTTAATTCATTATATAGTTTTGTAAAAATTATTCAGAAGATAATTTTTTATTAATTTACGTAATCAGCACAGAAGCGTATCAGTATTTGATCAGTATTGATGTATTTAATTATGAATAATTTGATGTATTTATGTATTAGATTTATTTCATATATTTGATGTATTTAATTATGAATGATTTTTTCATAGATATTATAAATGTAGTTTTCGTAAAAATAAAGTGCAATGTAAAGCAAAATTAAAGATTGTAAGTGATAATTATATTGTTAGTGGAAAACATGAGCATGAAAAACCTATATTTCAATTATGTGAGATTAGTAAAGAAATTGAAGCATCATGTGCATTCGAATCATCTAGATTAATAAAGAAAAGAATTATTTCGAAGTGAGTATAAAACAATAAAATAGAAAACAACAAATAAATGTTATTAATGAAGATGAGTACCTATTATTTATAATTATAATTTTTATATTTGTAATTGTAATTGTAATTTGTTTATTTATATCTAGATACGACCATTTATTAGATTTGACAAAAATTGGTAATTTAGAAAAATCAATTGAAAGACATAAAAAAAAATGTATTCGAAATATTCCAAAAAATTTAAATGATTTAACATATTGTTTAAATAAAGAAAATTGGAAAGAATTATTAAAAATAGAAACAACTGATTCTTTTATTGTTGATTTTGTCGTTGAATGAAAGGAAAAAATACCAAAGCGATTATTTTCATTGATAAGGTTTTAGCGCAGTCAGTTATGTCAATAATTAATGACAAACTAACCATTTTTGTGGATGGAACATTTAATACAGTTCCTCAAATTCAAGAAAATAATTGTCAATTGTGGACAATTATAATTAGATATGATAATAAGGTAAGCAAACAATTAATTTATTTCTTCATTTAATAATTAGTTGATTTTCCTGCAAAATCATTCTATGTAAATAAATAAGTAAATTAAATTGTTCTTAAATTTCAGACATTTCCAATTGTTTACACTATAATGGAAGGACGCACTTTTGATGATTATTTGAATGTTTTACAGAAAGTCATCCACATAATTAAATTAGCACCAGAAATTATATTAGATTTTGAAAAAGCCGAGCAAAAGATATTACAAACGATTTTTCCCAAAGCTAAAGTCATTGGCTGCTTCTTTCATTATAGTCAAGTAATAAAAGATAACTATGTACAAAACAATAAACATGAAATACATGTCAATTTTCCTTATACCACTTTCTTATTACAGGCCTTAATACATAATGCTGAGAAGCACAACATCCTAAAAGGTGACAAAAAGGAATCAGGTTGGGGTGCATTGAAACTATTGATATCTTTGGCTTTTTTGCCGGAAGATTTAATAGAAGGAGGCTTCGAAATTATTTATAAAATAATATTTAATGATTGCAAATATCTTCGATCATTTATTCATTATTATAGAGAGACATGGTTAAATGGCTTCAAACCTCGTTCATTTTGTGTTTTTCAACAGTTACACAGAACGAACAATATTTCTGACAGGCACAACCGAGAATTACGAGAAAGCCTAAAGAAACATTAAAAAATAGTTGAATTTTTAGGTATATTGTAAATGCTCTATTGTAAACACTGTTTTTTCATTATTTTTGCTGTTCTTATAATTTAATATTATTTATAGCGAATCTAATTGAACACCAAAAAGACATTCAAGTAAACTGAAACATTCAAACTTCTGGGTGAGATCAGAGCATTATATATTAAAACAGAGGGAAAATGAAATTCAAACATTTTGGTATAAAATCCAAGATACTAAAAATTTAGATATTTTATTAATATTATATTCATTATCTGAATTAGTTGGAAAAAAAGAGATTATTTAATAAATACTTTAATATACTTCTTATTCTTTTTTTAATTTTCCTTATTGTTCCTCTGGCTATTGACATTTTACAAGCATTCCTGGTTAGCTGGGAAGCTGGAACAAAAAAATTAATCAAAGAAAAGAATCGGTCCAACAACATCTACAATTACAGATAGCACATACATACATAATCTTTTCTTTCATGAGAATATTTGTTACTTATCTGATATATATTTGTCTATTTTCCATTTACTTCTTTCATTATTAATGCTCCTTTCATCTTGTATAGACTTCATTCCGTTATTGACGATGACAGAAATGCGAAGAACGATGCCACAACTATAAGTAATATTTATCAAGATACGTTAAAACATTGAAGAACTCAAATTGTTTAATTGCATATAATAATTAATCCATTTATACGTATATCATTGTTTTTCATTTCGTTCATATTAATAAATTTTACGTTTTCTCTTATTTGTAATATTTTTACTTAATTTTATTTTAAATAAATGTCGTAATAATATATATATGTATATTATATTTACATTTATAAAATATTACGATCGTAAATATTTATTATAAACACGCGCGCACATCTGTCAAAAAGATTCAACAAACTGACAGACTACTACTTGAACAGTGTTACTAATCGACGGAAATTGAAATTAGGTTGCCTAGAAGTTTTCGTTGGTGCCAACATTATCCCCTCTACTTTTCGGGAAAATGTCGTGTAACCCATGTTTTTAACTGTAGTTTACTTAAACCTATAGTCTGAATGAAGAAACTGTCAAAGACTTTTCTTTATTTTCAAACGTAGAGTATGATTGGTTGTTGCTAATAGTGAAAAGAGGGAAAATTGAAATAAGTTGGATGCTATGACATCTAGTAGAGAATAATATATCTGTTTCGTATGAAGTAAACACTAACCAACATTAACATTTGCTGTATTTGTATATAAGTATTAATTTATTAAAAAGTGGAAGTCCAGTGTTAATAATAATCAATTAGTTTATATTATTGATTTGATTGCATTTATCATATAATAATTGACTTTTATATATAGTTTTATACTCTGTTTTATACTCTGTTTTAGAATATAATTTATTGAAGCAAAAAACCCAATATTTTAAATTAAATTTATATACTTACTGTTCTGTTTTATGAGAAATTTCATGCTCGATTTCTGCTAGAACTGCAATAACAGATTCTTTTGATAATCTAAATCGAGCATGAAAATCGACATTATCAAATTCTTCCAAATATGATGGTCGTCTTATTCTTATATTTCTTATCCGTCGATAAATTAGGTTTTCAAAATCTTCATCTTTAGATGAAGATAATATGTATTCTAAAGCCATATATATCTCTTTGGTGTCCAAACGTTCAAAATATTTGTCAACTGAACTCCAAAACCGGGATAGTCATAAATTTTTTTCTCAAATTGATGGTACTGCAGTGTTAAACTTCGTTTAAATTCATTAAACGCTCAAAGTTTTGAGTTTAACTTTAACTGTGAGAAATCAACGTTAACCATAGTTTAAGGCAGTTATGGAACGCAATTTTTCGTCTAAACTAGGGTTAACGAGTTAAACTTCGTTTACAGTAAGTTGGGGAACCGGGCCTAAGAAATGGACCAACCACAGTCGATTATTATACGAATAATCGATTTTGGTTGGTCCATTTCTTACTGCTTACGATCACAACCTTATTCTTGCAGACATTGTACATGGGCCTTTAGGCCTGGTCTACAATACGTGTCGTAAGTTGTAAGCCATAAGAATTGGCAATTCACACTCGATTATTACAAAAATAATCGGCTATAATCAGTTAGTTCTTACGGCTTACAGCTTACAACACCTATCGTAGACCAGGCCTTAACCAATCAGAGTAATTTCGTTCCGACGTTTCATAACGGACATTGAAACGACGGAATGGAATTGCTCTGATTGGTTAATCCCCACCATTTGGGCCAGAGCACAGACTTCTGCATAATATACAACGCATAAGAAAATCAACCAATCAAAGTTCTTCATTTCTGTCCTGAGGAAAGAAATGAAGAAAACTAATTGGTTTAAGCTAAGACTCCATGCATGCGGTGAACTGCGGCAAACGGTTGCGGTGACCAATCAGGAGGGAGGCGCAAGTCCGGTTGCGGCAAGCTCCGGCATGCGTCTGTCTCCTGATTGGTCACCGCAGCCGTTTGCCGGAGCTCACCGCATGCATGGAGTCTTAGCTTTATTCTCTTATGCGTTATGTATTATGTGTTATGCAAAAGCCTGTGCTCTTGCCCTTTGTCTTTTCCGTTCCTCTTCCGTTCCGCTATTTTGAAGTGCATCTGACGAGGCAGGAGAAACAGACAGTGCTGCGAAATTCAGAGAATTTCCCATGTTACAGTGCATGGCTGAAGTGACGTAGAGCTACATATATGTCAAAACCTACTGACGGTTTAAAGCGCATGACACAGAATCCACGGAAGATACTTTTTATTCTCTCTACAATTCCTTCATATTTTCTTTCAGACGAGAGATCTTACGCCCGTATTAGACTATAGGTTGAAAATTATAAGTGGACCAACTTAAATAACCAAGATTTAGATTACCTGATTTATCCGATTGCAATTTTCAATCCATAGTATCATCACCATATCGTTAAAATACCTTTAAATTAATACGGTACTGAGACTCCCACAGCATTTGCTCAATACGCATGCCCGGAAATTCTCTGGATCTCGCAGCACTGGAAATAGGCAATAGAAATAAAGCCAGCGGCACACGGTGCTTGTTTTAATTGGTGCATTTCCATCCATCTTCGGAAATGTACCAATGAGAACGCAGTATTTTCATCCAGCAAGCAATCCAGCACGAAAACAAGCATCGTGCGCCGCTGGCTTAAGGAATAAGAAATTACCGGCATCGACATCGACGTATGTACACTCGCGGACATAAAGGTTTGTGCCCGTTTTTTTGCAACTTTCGGAACGCATCCCAACTCGAGAAGAATGAGAGGTGTGCTCCGCCTACGGAACACGCCTGCGCAGTGACTCACAACGAAAGACGAGAAATGAAATATACACGGTGGGACATATTATAATAATACAGACTCAGATGAAATGAATACTCCAGCATTAAATGGAAATGAGGGAACACAGAACTACAGACAAGAATCATCCGAAATAAGTCTTATACTCCGGAAGACATTCGAAAAAGGTAGAGATAAATAAACATGTTTATGTTTTTAAAACAATACGAACTTAATTAAGAGAATTAAACTGCATTACGATAGTTACGATTCTGTTATATATTTATATATGATTTATTGTTTCAGCAACAGCCATTTTCTATAGTAAAAGCAATGATATTAGATACAGAAGCAGCTGTTATAGCGAATTTTGAATTTTTGGGACATACAGACATGGACATGGAAGAGGAAGAAGGAGATGGAGATGATGAAATTTATGATGCAAATACAGATACCAAACCAAATAAAGTAACGTTTATTATCATCTTGCGTTTTAATGATATTGTTCACGCTATTTGTTAACATAATTTCTTATTTTTCAGGCATCTATCCCCCTTCTAGTGGAAGATGTTGATACAGATGCAGAGGCAGAAGTATTAAATGAATTAAATCTCTTCACAGAAATTGAAGAATCGCCACCTGGTTCTATCCATCTGGAAATGAATTCTTCAAAGGTTAGTAAATCCCTTTTTATTCGTGTACTTTAAGATAAAATATAAACCTATTACAATAATAGATATTTTGTAATATTGTCACATATAATCACATAATCTAATGATGCCTGTGGGTTTATTACATAGAGGATTACAACAAGATCCAAGACGCCCAAATAATAAAGAAGGCGGTGACTCCACGCTGGAATTAGGAGAATTAGAACAATTATGTGTTAACAATGATGCAGAAATATCGTACGATGTAAGTTCCAAGAATTTTCCCCTGTATTTCAGTCGAGTCACTTTTTCAGCTATGTAAGAGTTACAGTTTGTTGACACTCTTAACGTATTATTTCTTGCGACACAGAATTCTCTCAATTTCACAAAAAGGTACAAATACGTTTTCCTATTTTTTTTTATTTATTATTGTAATTATAGGGGAGGCTTCGGCAGAGGTAATGACGGAGCTGGAAGAGGCAGGGGTCATGGAGGTGGTGCAAGACACGACAGGAAATTAATTGGAACTGCATCAAGATAACAGGCAGACTTTACAAGGGCGATATCAGTATCGTGAAGGACGCAACAGAGACCATAGTTCGAGTAGAATTGTATTCTATATGTCAAACTACTTCTGTGAACCGATCTCATATTGCCAATGTTGGTGTGCCGACGAAAGATGGTCGTTTCAGCAGCTACAACAGAACTCCAGCATACGTAGCTGGTGGACAAATGTCGATGTATGCCAGAGATAGATCAAAGACACCTACGCACGGCTCTCAAACGCCTATGTACGAAAGTGAGTAATCTTACACGCTACTTGTCTCGGTCCAACTGTGGTCAGAGAAAAAAATGAGAACACGGAATACAATCTATATGTTTTTTTTTTACTTCTTTTTAATCGCTTGGTAGTTCTACTGCAAAACAGCAATCTTTGATGTCTAAATTTTCTTATTTCTAATTTTATAGATGGTTCTCGTACTCCTCATTATGGTTTAATGACGCTGTCTCACAATGGTTTGAGAATACCAGGCCATTCGGGAGTCTGGGACCCGGCTGTCATAAATATTCCCGCCAGAACAAACGATTCCGATGGCTACAGTATGGAAGAATGTGACTCGCCTGGCTACGCGCCCGGATATCCCCCCACCGGAGGTCCCTTTACTGCACAAACTCTGGGCACCACGTACGGCTTGGGACAAAGCTTTAGTTCGTATCAGCCTATTCCTAGTCCTGTTGGAAATGCTACCACGAGTCCAAGTCTTGCAGGATACGTTGCCACTCCATCCCCAAGTGAAACTGAATATACCACAAGTCCACATAGAACAACATAGTCCCATGGGTTACAGTCCCATGACACCTAGTCAGTAATTCTTCTTAATTGATGTAATCGTTGTATAATATGAATTATAATTAATTTCATATAAATAATAGCCTCTATAAGTATATAATTTCAAAAAATATGAAGTCTCTATTTTGTAAGTATACATAATTATAATTACGGGTTATAAGAAGTAATTGAAATTACAGATAGCCCGTAAAATCCGCAAACACCTAGCGCAGGGTTGGACATAGGTATTGGTTCCGGTAGTGCGGAGTGAGGCGGGGATCGAGAAGTCGTCGGCATATTACTTTCGACTGACAACCAAGAAGAAGTGATGAAACTTAACACGGAGGAAATTAAGTTCTTGCTTTTTATGTAAAATGAAAGCTTCTAGCACGTAACTTTTTATTTTACGTGCATCAATGTTGTGTTATCGACCTTATCTGCTATACAAATGGAAGCATATTGTAGCGTATAATAGTTTTGTAACTCCTTTAATTAATATATTATTAATGTATATATAGAAATTGTGCACTTTACTAAGTAAGAAAACAGGACAATAACACAAGCTGATTCGTGCATCTTTCGTCTCTCTCCTGTCACTTCTCTTTTCCTTCTTTTACCTCGTTTCTTAGCACCCTTATCTTTAGCGTCTAGCGCTTCTACTTTTCTTACATAATACTTACTCGGATAATGCCGCCTAGCTAGCGCTTGTTTCGGTTCACGCCACGTTCAAAACTAAGCGTACTAACTAAAACTGAAAACAATCAAATCTAAAACCAAAACTAAACTGAACATGAGCTCATCTTTATGCACAGCATATGCGATAATATAAAGAAATATTTAAACTAGCCTGTATCCTACACTCGGCCATCTGACGTCATCTGTTCTCAGATGTATCAGTTTTCTCCAGGTGAATATGTTTCAGTCGTCATATTCCAGGGCTTCATAAAATCAACTGCTATAGATGTTATGCGGGGACCTTTCCCTTGTCCTATTTCCTTTTCTTTCTTTTGTCGTTTTTTAACCGATCGTTTATTCTAATACTACTCTTGGACTTAGCTTTCATCGTTTTATATATATCTAACTTACGCTTTAACTCGAAAATACTCTTCGTGTCATATAAAACAACTTTATTTACCTCGTTATCTGATGTACCATCAATTATATATTGTATTACTGCGCTTGTATTTTATGGATCATAGCACTTTCAACGGAATAAATTATTTCAGCAGCCTGTCCCGGACAGGAGAGTAAAGTTACATGGTGCAGAGTAAAGTTATATGGTTTAAAAGCGTAAGGTTGGTATTTCAAAGTTTTAGAGCGGCGAGAAAAAGTTTTAATTTAAAACAGAATTACAATTGATTAAATATAAAGGCGTCGAACTTTGTATACCTAATATATTGGATGCTTGAATAAGTTTCCGCCGTTTTCTTGTGAAATAAAAGACCTATATTTCATAAAAAACAGAAAGAATAGTTTATTCAAAGTAGTATCCATCGTTAGCTATAATCTTTTCCCACTTTTCATGTAATAAGAGGATTCCACCATAGAAGAACTCCGATTCTTCTAAAGTAATTCAGTGCTCAAGTCAATTTTTGATATCTTCATACGAAGTGAAGTGCTGCTTAGCCAGACTATGCTGCATGGACCGGAAAAATTATAATCAGAAGGAGCCAGGTCTGAGGAATACGGCGGATGAGGTAACATACCCCAGCCGAATGCTTCCAACGTATTCTAGACTGGTTTCGCAACATGTGGTCAAGCATTGTCGTATAGCAAAATCACTTTGTCATGTATTTTGGCATATTCTGGACGTTTGTCTTTCAATGCTTGGTTCAAATTCATTAATTGGTTCTTGGTAATATTCACTATTGATGGTCTGACATGATAGTTGCAGCAACTTATAATACACCACGCCTTGTTGACTAAATACACCCCACTAAATACACAACATAACTTTCTGTCCATGAATATTCCGTTGATGATAATGACTGGCCAGGTTTGTTTCATGTTCTTGGTCGTTTTGGATTGATAGTGGATCCATTTTTCATCCCCAGTAACGATTCGATGGAAAAATGACTTCCTGTTCTGTCTTTGAAGCAACAATTCGCACATAGTTAAACGCCGATCAAGGTCTCTTTCTTTCAATTCATGTGGCAACTAGTTTCCGAGTTTTTGAATCATTCCCATTGCTTTTAAAGGTCTGCTAACAGTCCATTGATTAACATTTAATGCTTCTGACAATTCTTTCAATATTTGACATAGATTTTCATCAAGTAATACTTCCAGTTGTTCATCCTCAAATTTTTTCGGTGCACCTTCGCGTTCTTTATCTTTCACATCGAAATCATCATTTCTAAAGCGTTGAAACCACTCTCTACAACTTCTTTCGGTTGAAGCATGCTTCCTATATGACTCCACAAATAAACGATAACTTTCAGCTGTACTTTTCTTAACAATACAATAATGCAGTAAAACTTCTCACAAATGCTGTTTTGTTGGCACAAAAGTCGACATTTTCAATGCAATGACAAAAATATTGTTTACATGTCCACCAAATGTCATATACTAAATATGAAAAAAATGGTTTATAGTATTTTTGTGTACATGTGTTGCGACTGGAAATTCTATGCTCGTTACGATGTTTTTTGGAAAACGGCGAAACCTTATTCAAATACCTAATATACATAACGCGTACACACATTATTCTAAAGACGTTCTAGAACAATATCTTGGGGATATATAAATGTCCACTGTTTTAGATCCTACGGGTATCTCTTTTAATAATAATTTTTAGAAACTAAAAGTTTCTAAAAAATAATTAAAAATTAATAAAAAGGATATCTGTAGGATCTAAAACAGCGGATGTTTGTATATCTCCAAGATATTACAATATCCCAAAATGATGTCCGTCGGACGTCCCTAAGATAAAATGTGCTGTGTGGGTAATTGCGTTCAATGATTTATAAACATTGCATGTACACGACTCTTCTTATTTTTATACAGAGTGTCCGGGATTTTTTGGAAACGAAAAATTATGAACATTAATCAGATGAAACGGAGGAAAAAGGTTCTTTACCATTTTGCAAACACGTAGGCAAATTTTCAAGTTATCGATCAAAAGAGCCTCTACATGTAATTATTTTCAATCATTAATAACTTAATAACTATTACGATTTTTGCAAAATGATACGTGATTTTTCTTCTCAGTTTGATCTGATTAATCTTCGCAATTTTTCGTTTCCAAAAGATCCCGGACACTCTGTATATGATTCTGTTTATATAAAGTGACATTTTTTAAACACAAACATTTCGTTCGCTTAATTTCATTTCAAAAGAGCAGTGAGAAGTTACACCTGTGTGAAGTTGTCGCTTTATTATCGTGAACTGATACGAATGACAGAAGCGTAATACTCGAGAGATAGAGTAACGTGTGCGAGCCGTTGGAAGGCTTGCCAAAAATGTTCAAGAAATCCATGAGAAGAATATCACGCGGTTAACCACTTGAGACTCTCGTTTCAGAGTATGAACATATGTTCTTTATGGTTTCTTTTGGTACTTGTAGGCTGCATCTGCGGTAAAAGGTACTCGGCTTATTGCATTTGCTAAGAGTATTTGCATCGTTTAACCGACGATCAAATCATCATGTTCAATCGCGCGATATCAGTCCGATGCAACTGAGCAAAGAACAATTTCATCTCCGTTTTGAGTTAAAGTTGGATCTCGAACGCAATTGTACAGTTTAGAGGAACTTGAACTAAACGCAATCGTTTCTTGCCGATTCATGTTTCCGATGCCAGTCATTGTGTGTTTCGTGACGGGGTAATCGGTGCTAAATCTTCCAAACGTCGTCAGAATGTCGGTACCGTTTTATTTGAGAGAAACGATTATGGAAAGCAATGCTGGACTAGCGAGGAATTCGCTGTTCTTAGCAGCCGAAGGATATTCCAAGACATTTTGCCCGAGGTAAATCCAATTACCCTTCGACGATTCTGCATCCGCGCGATCTGTACTACGAGAATCGAAGCCGCGTGGAAATTTATTTGCATGAAACAAAAATCGCGAGAATTATATGCTGTCGCTGTTGGTGCACAATGCTTCAAGTCCAGTTTTGGACGAAATCTTGCAACAACAAGCTTGCAAAAAGACCAATAACCTCACAATGGAATACTTTTTACTTCGTTTCGCCAAGAAGTCGTAACGTGTAATTTGATTTTCTCGCATTCTCTCGAGAAACTTCGATTCTCCATGAGGAAGAATCGATATTCGGATTAGATGAAGATAATGGTCTAGATAATCTCATGTGTGCGCATATATGTTTATTTATTTATATTTATATACATGTACGTAAACGATAACGGAAGTGAGTGTCGAAGGATTCTCACAGAGGACTTTCTAAGATTTTCCTTCCGTCAGGTGAAAGTCATCGATCCGCAAAACGATCAGTACATAGCGCACCTCATGGACTATTTTCACGCATGCCTCGAGAACGTGCGGAGGCTGTCCGTGGGCAAAACGAAGCATCTGATGCTGAAAGCTCTGGCTGACACACTAGGTGGTTACTTGCGGGTTTACATCCTGCCTCTCACGAGGCACTCCTATTACGCAGGGAATATCAAATATCGCAGCGCGAAGATGCTGTTCGAGCTCTTCGACGAGCTGAAGACCTTCCTGCGGACGAATGGTGCCGGCTGGTCGAGACCAAGCCAAGACGTTCGGGACGTCAACATTCCGCCCATTACGATCACGCCGCCGAAAACGTCGCTCGCCTGCAACGGGCTCATCACGTATTCAGCTCGTAAGTCCCGTCGTTGATCCTTCGTGATCTGAAGGAATCTGGCGGTATTGATATGACGAAGACCTGAAGCGATAGCTGGGATAATTCAGTAGGGCCTTCATCATTTGTCGCACGTTTTCCAGCTTTCGATCGCAACAGCGGGGATTACCGAAGCTTCACTTTCAAGAGGAAGAAACGTGCCACGGTGAAGCGAGGAGGCGCCAGACGTGCGGTCAGTGGTGAGAATTGACAAACGTACTCAAGCTTCTTCATGCGGCTTTGTTGGTGTACTACTTTAATGCTCTTTGACTTTCGTACTTCTCTCGATCTTTATACTTTATATTTCCGCGATACCACAATGTATACTTCTTTTCTGCACGATGAAGCGGTTACGGTTTCTGCAAGGTTTGCGAAATATTGCTTGCCAGAAGAAACCAAGTGATCTAGCTGGTTTTCACATTTAGTTTTTAAATCGCAGCGCAGTCTTAGAGTTTCAGAATTACGAGACCGTAAACTGTTTATCTCGATAAGGTTACAACAAGGAAACCGCGACGGACGAAGTTATAATACCACTCCCGTTCCTCGACAACGAAGTGGAGCCCAACAGGTAGTTATCGAGTAGCAATCCGTAAGAACGTCTCGACGACCGAGTAGTCTCAACGTGTATCTTTTGTATGTAGCATCGCTCTGCCCTTCAGAAACGACAGCTTGCAGTCATTATATTCGGAGAAGTCGGCTTTCGCGCTCGTAAAGTATTATATTGTCAGCGCGAAGTGCATCGCCTCGCGATCGAGCACGAGATCGCAGTCGCGGCTGTTCAACAAGAACTTCCACAGCTGGTTGCGACAATCCGTACGTTGTGAGTCGCTACGACTGAGAAAAAAGACACGGCAACCCTCGAAACACGCATAATTGCAGAATTGCAGAGCGGCGAATCGCAAAAGATAAATAAATTAAGATTGTCATTTAGAGCAAGGGGAAAAATTCGGAAAGAGGAGGCAACAAAATATTTTGGTGTTACACCAAAGCACGTTTCGTGCCAGAAAATAAGGAAGAAAGAAATACAAAATATACAGGGTGTTACATTACATTAACATATAAGTCGGTACCACGAGTTGCCTATCTTTATTCGGACGATAATGCAGAGGTTGCCTAAAAAGTCACTCGTTGACTTTGTTGGTAATAATATTTACAGTGCTCCCAGTTATGACGAGTGCAACTAACTTTGCACCATGATCGTTATGACAGTTTATCGATCGTTTGTAACAGGAGTCGAGCTTCATTGAATTAAAAAAGATGTTTAAAAAAGTGAAACTGAGAAATAAATATTACGGATTTAAGTAGAGTAAATAAGAGCAATATGTAAGAAGATAAATAAATAATACAACATATTTTCTTGTTTCATATAATTTCTTAATTTCTTTTTTGCGTTAAAAAGTTCGATAGGAATTAGAGATTAGAAAAAACGGTATAGTCAATTAGTGACTTTTTCGGCAACTTCTATATTATCGTCCGACCCGAGTAGAAAAATTAATAGGACTTTGGTAAGGATTATTATTTTTCTCTAACATTAATCGGGCCCTAGTAGGAATAAAAAGACATGGGTCCTTCAAGATGTGTAACAAATGGTTTAACAGGCAATATTCTAAAGGTCTTATAAGACAGTATCAACAGGGTTTTATAAGGCAATATTAATAGGGCCTTATAAAAAATATTTTATTATTATTTGAGTAAAAATTTTCGTTCTTTTCATTCCAAGAAATTTATCGACTGTAATTGTTTTTATTTCTTTATAACCTTGTTAGTATGCAACAAGAATTTTTTTATTTTAAAAATATAGCATACTTTACAATAAAATATAGCATTCTTTATGGCAGGATAAAAATCCTGCTACTGTTTTTATTAAAGTTTGCTGCATTTCAAAACGAACGCAATACTAGAAAAATCGTTGGAAGAGACTAATGAATATGGCAACTAATAAAACTAATAAAATTTGTTTTTAATTGCAGTATAATTAAAAAATCTTTAAAAGAACCAGGTAGAGCGTACCTATTAAAATAATACTAAATTATGACAATTTTATTACACGTTTTAGATCTTATTAATTTTCTATAACAAAACTTGATTTTGTATATCTAAAACATCCTTAAAAGATCCTTCTAAGTCCAACATCAATTTTCCATGTTAAAGTTATTTTGTAAAATCTAAGGCATCTCTAAAAAATTCTTCTAAAGCCCTTCTGAGCTTTCTCTATCAAAACCTTATTTATTAAATCTAAGGCATCCTTAGAAGATAATCCTTCTAAGGCCCTTCTCAGCTTTCTCTATTAAAACCTTATTTATTAGATCTGAGGCACCTCTAAAAGATCCTTCAAAGGTCCTTATCAGTTTTTTTATCAAAGTCTTATTTATTAAATCTGAGGTACTTCTGATAAATCCTCTTAAGACCTTTATCAATTTTCCTTATCAAAGCCTTATTTCATAAAATCTAAGATGTCCCTAAAAGATCCGTTTTGGGGCCTGATGTGATAATAATGAGACATCCCTTTTTAGGGCATCCTCCTTTTAGCCTTATATTTCATGAGGCCCTAACAATTTTTTGCTCGGAGAATAAAGACAGGCAACCCGTCATACTAACCTGTATATTGATGTTACACTCTGTGCATACATTCCTTATTGCAGACATATTAGCGGAAACAAAATGTGGTATAAGCCAGCGATTGTATCTCATTTTATTTTATTTTGTTTATTTTCTGTAATGATTAACTCTTGGACTAAGTCTTGGATTAACTCTTAGACTAAATCGACAATCCTTCGCTTTACGATTATCGACGCGTTTGTTTGATTAATCCCGCGATTAATTCCGCACAGAATAATAGATGAAAGCATCGTTCGCGTTGCAGGTGCTTCGACACCTGGACGACGAGAAGTGGTATCCGGCATTCGGGGGTGTTCTGAGAGTAATGGCTACCTTGCGGGAATCGGGTAATATTTCATGATAGTCTCGTTGCCTGTAATTCGTCCTGTTGGAAAATTAACGAGGCCGATATACTATTCCGTTTAAGCGTCCGCGTGGCTAAGAAATTGTAGCTTCGTAATGTTTCTCTGACTGTGTGCGTGCGTATGAGGTTCATGTGTGATCTCATTGCGCTCCTTCGAGAGGAATAAAATATAACGTCCATTAACACCCTTTGAGACGCGCTTTGATATATACTCTTTGATAGTATTTTCACATGTAATTTCAGCAAGTTTTACCTTATTTTATAAATATGAAACCATGCCGGGTGACAAATATACAAATATCGTATCTCCAAGTCACGTACTTATCAATTTCGAATGAGATCGATATTGAACTGCATAACTGAAGATATTCGTTAACGAATCACGAGAAATGGGATACACATTTAGCACCATTTTGTTTTGAAACGTGAGTGCTTTTATATCTCAATGTGTCATCTTTCTCGCTCAGGCGAAGGTGCCACGAAGAGCGGGGCAAGCGGAGCTTATCAAATGATGCCGAAAGTAATGACGGGCCACAAAAGTTACACCACGGACGAGAGCGCATCGCTGTTTCATCAAGGAAAAGGGGAAAGTAGGTTAATTTTCTTCACGAGATAACGCGCGCGATTTTCGCTGTGTTTTCGCACGCGCGTATAATTCGTTCGTGCCGGGCAAGGAATAATTCGCTCCGCGTCCATGATATTCAGACGATGACAACACGTCGACGCTCGGAACCATGGAGATCGTGATTATAGCGGTGGTGTCCGCGTTGGCAATATGGCTGCTGGTGGGTTTATGCCTGGTGTGCTACAAATTCCTCAGCAAGGAGTCGGAGGGATGCCCACCCTGCGAATCGAAGACCACCCCGTGAGTCGACGTATTGTTTGCTTACTCTGCGACAGATTCTTCCCCGGTTACACGCTCAATTATAGACTGCTCGTTTTGAAATCGCTCAGCGTCAATCGCTCGCGATCGGTCGATCTGTTGCTTTCTCATGATTCTCCATTTCGATTCCTCAATGTCGATTTTTCTCAGTCTAATAATATCGCGGCGCGATTTAGGTTTGCTGTTCTGTACAAGAACGTGGACTACTGCGAGCCGGATACGTGCCCTTCGAGATCGTCGCGCACGAATGTAGTTGAAAAATTAAAGGAATGGTGGAGGAGCAAGTTCGGTCGATGCCCAGGGGGATGCCAGAAGCACGAAGATGAGGAACGTTGCTTGGCCGCGATCAATTACAGCAGTAAAGACACCGTTAACGACAGCACCCGGATTTATTCGTGGGCGTATTTTTGCTATCCGTCTTCATTTTAACTAGTTCACTGGTTCATTTCAACGATTCATATATGAGCGAGAAAAAGAAGTGCCACAATTGGTAATGACTCATATATGAGGAGCCATGAGGAGCTTTGCTTCAACGGATTTGCATGAAACTTGATACATCCATGTTTTTTGGGTCGCCGATTATGAATCCGGAATCAAATTTGAGAAATTCATAATGACGGATTCAATATGGAGGCGCTTAAGTGCTCAATTTTGTCACTTTCAGGAATGTTTATTAAGACTGGTATCCCTATTAGATTTTGTATGAAATCTACTTTATAAAGGGCTCTTCGGATCGCTGGTGACGAACCCGGTCAAAATTTTAAAATGCAAAATGGGAGATTCAATATGGCGGCTCCAAATGACTTTTGTTGTTCCATTATGGAGAAGTTCATATTCAGTCTTTTGGGTTCCTGATAATAAATCCAGTCGAAATTGCAAAATCTAAAATGGCCGATCCAATATGACGGCTTCTAGTGATTAACGGTATTCCATTATTACGGATACTCTTACGTTCATTGTTAGCAGATGAAATATGCTGAAGGAAATTAATTTTTTGTCGTCTCCCTGAAATGTCTCTGGTGAAAACTTTGAATTTATGACAATCCTTATTTGCGACCAAAGAAACATATCAAGTTTGATACATATCTATGATGGAACATTAAAATTAGCCTTGAACTTGAAGTTACTATATTGGATTCGCCATTTTCAATTTTGAAATTTTGATCCTGGATTCGTCACCAAAAACTTTTTATAGATAAACTTCCATGTAAAATACAAAATTATTCGCTCTCAACAATTTTGACACAAAACGTTAATTTCGGGTCCACTAGTGAACTGGTTAATCGCGTCGTGGAATAATTTATTATTTTATTTATTTACATTGATTAATAACAAATGCATCGCGCAATCTTGAAGACATTTTCCTAACCACGTATTTGATTCACAGGAAAAAGAAATATACTAAATCCACCTCCGCATTTCCATCAGGATCGTTCAGGAGTCGCGCGTGTTCTAAAGTGAGTGACTATGATAATATCGTTATTCGTTCATACAAAGAATTAGTTAGAAGTGTGATTTTGTGTTTCTCCTACTCTAAATTAAATAGCTATTTATTTTAATTTAATTTATTACACAATATTTATTTCACTTCTTATTCACAGCATAACAGCATTCGTTAGCTGTACTTCCTAAAGGATCGCGCTTCGATAGTCTCCTCGAACCGAGATAACAAATATGCAAAGGAGCAACTTCAAAGAATGCATAGAGAGATACACCGTACCTGATTTTAAGAGAGAATATTTAATTAATAATTTTTAAGAGACCATTTAACCTTAGTGTACACGTCGGCCGATAAAAACGTAAAATTGGTAAACATGACAAATGATGTTCCTAAGGCTCTAAAAAATGCACGAGAGAATTCGCGGGGATCTCGATAACTTAGACTTTGACTAATGGCGCGAAGATAATTTCCATCTCCAATACGCTGAAAACAATCGTTCAACACAGTAACATCATATCGGGAACCATCCGCTCGCGGAGAAGGAGAAACCGCGAAGACTGTTTTACTTCGCGCCCCGTACTGTCAGGCCATTAATTAAATTTCATTCCAACCAGCCGGCCGGCCGGCCGGCCACCGAAAGCGCGCATCTCGCGCTTCGATCGTGCACGCTCGGAGCACGTTTGCTGCGGCCAAACGCTCCGTATCTTCTTCTTCTTCTTCTTCTTCTTCCTCCTCCTCCTCTTCTTCTTCCTTCCTGTCGCGCGCGCGGCAAACTGCAAGCTGCAGTCTGCAACTTGTTGCAAGCGGGACGAGGACGAGTGACACGAGACGAGAGAAGGAAAAGAGGCAGAAGAGAGAGAACGAGGTCGGAGCGGTTGAAGCGCTGGCGCGCAGCGCCATCTCGGCGCGGTTGGTCGTGCGCGCGCGCCCGCGTGCGCACGTCGCGTCTCGTCTCTCAGGCGGCGCAGAGTCTCGCGAAGGACGCGACCGACCAGCCGGTAGTGTCGCGCGACAGCTCGAGTGATGCGTTACGTCCCTCCACCTGTCAGACGCGCGCGAAAGTGACACAGCACGCGGTCGCTGCGAGAGGCAGAATCCAGAGAGTGTTTCTCGTCGATCTCGAAGAAGGATCCGTCGGTCGCGATTGCTCGGGAAATTTCGCGCGCTTGCGCTACGCGCGCGTGTGAGTTCGCTCGTGCTGGCCGGCGGTCGTGACAGCGAACTGTCATGCTGTTGACAGTTGACGCGCGATGTGGCGTCCCACGTGCGCGACGACATCGAGCGTGAATTCGCGCGAAACACGTTGACGAGCGACGTTTGAACGGTGCTCGAGTTTAAGCCTGACGAGATTCCGTCTCGCGGCGGTCATGTGAGTGCTGTTTACGCGCTGACAATCGCGCTAATATCTCGTTGTTCGACGCGATACGCGAACAGCAGCCTCTCCTTTTCTCTCCGCGGTGCGCGCTCGTGAGCAAGGACAAGGGGAAGCGAAGACGACTCGTATACTGTGTGACTTGTTTTACTGAGATAACAAGCGCGGATAGACGCAAATGTCGATGGACATCTCGCTTCCACTCGCCGGCTCGTGCGCGCATGCTCCGTTTTGAAGTTTCGATAATCGCGAGCGTCGTGTCGCAGCGAACTTCAGTCCACTCGTGATCGCGTCGTGATCGCTCTCTGTCGCTCGCTTCTGTTATTGACTGGCTCCTTTCTGAATATGTGTGTCGCGACGGGATCCTCGCATTTTCTCGTGTTCGCGTGCGTCTACCGCGATTGACTCTCTTGTGCGTTCTGTGCGTCCTCTTCGCGGGACACGATGATGGCACGAAGAAACCACGGCCTTTTGTGCACGCTGTTCTTCCTCCTGCTCTTTGCCGGCGTTCTGAAAGGTACGCAACTTAACTTGATATTTTCATGCTCGATAGGAATCAACGGTCGAATTAGGTTAGGACAAAGCTTGTAGTTGAGAGTTACGCGACGATGAGCTTTTATAACGTCAGAGACCCCCCCCCCCCCTCTCTCTCTCTCTCTCTCTCTCTCTCTCTCTCTCTCTCTCTGTCTCTGTCTCTGTCTCTGTCTCTGTCTCTGTCTCTGTCTCTGTCTCTGTCTCTGTCTCTCGAAGTTCACCTCTCTATGATTGCCAATTAGTCACATGAGAATGCAGATTTCTTAGCTTTCGGTAACCTAGAAAATTTCAACGGAGTAGTTCACAGAAGTGTAGGTCTGTCAATTTAGCAACGTGTGTCGAATTAATTATGTTGAATGCTATTTTCATCGTTCATTCCGCCTGCGGTTTAATCGGGAAATGTTGCTCGGCAAGCTTGCGACGAGGCAAACATTTGACTCGAAATTTACACGAAACGCGGAATTTGTCGAGAAACGGCTCGGGGCTACTTTTAACTTCCGTTCTTCTTCATAAACATTCAACAAGTGGCGACAGGTTCATTGGCTCGCGCAAGTTAAGTTCACGAATGCCTTTCGGATCGGCCGAACTCCGACAGCGATGACTTTTCCCGTCGTAAAATGTCCGACTTTATTGTGTCGATCCAGCATGTTGCACAGACTTTTAACTCACTTGTGGGATAACGTGTACACTATAAACATCTGCGCGTTTCTCCGCGCTTGTGTATCGAGCAAATGTATGGCGCATTCAAGTGAATTACTTTCGCCTCCGAGCTTGTGTGTATCGAGTAAATATAATTAATAAATTAAATTAAATTAAAATATGTAATAATACATTTGAGTGAATTGCTCTCTCAATGTGCCGATAAATTGGGAGTGCCATCGGTTTCAGCAAGAGTCGACGAAAGTCATTTTACGCCACTTTTGCGAACGCCACTTTTGCGTCTCTCGTCGATGTGTTATTTTCGCGGCATTGTTAATCGGCATTTTATTTCGCAAATTGTTGCGTTAAGCAACCGCAAAGCTTTGATCGATAAATTTGCACCTCGCGCGCAAATTATTGTTGCGCATTATTAACCAATAAATTCCGACGCCCGTGGCGGTGCGCCGTGCCGAAAGTCCGTGAATGAAGCCTCGAATTATATCGGTTAAAGGGTTAGAGCGAAGTTTCTCAAGCGGAAGGCGCGAGCGCGCGAGAACTTTTGTTTATCTCGACGGGATAACTGAAACAAAGTGCGACCCGGGCCCGGGCAATAAAATATCATCGACTCGTATCGTTGCTCGCTAACTTGGACTCGCGCGGTGCGTGAATTCCGCTGAAACGTGTGCGTGGCAGAGCAGCAGACATTTCAGCGCTCTGTCGCGGACGCCGTAATTTGTAAACGATTTAAAGCATTTCACGCTCTGTTAGGCGAGGTAATGGGCTCACTTTTAATTACCGTCTAATGTACTATCACCGTCTCCCTTGACACTCACTCCGGTCGCGTAACAAGCAACGCTTTTCATTTACGAATGGCTGAGCCCGCGAGAGGCGAATTCTGCGACGCTGTCGGCCAGTTTTCCCTTCCTTATTTTCTCCGCTGCTCGCGCGGCTAATAGCTTTAAGGTCACGTCGCGTCGTCCCGACGTGTTCGTCGAAGGAAATTTGTGCGCCAAATTAGAAGCCGAAGGGTTAACGACGCGGTCTTGTCTCTCGCGCGGAGCGGTTTCATTAGAAACGCGGGGGACGATATTGCGAAATTGCCACCCCGACTCGGCATTTTTGTCTGGAAATTGTCGATTTCGGTCGAAGGAAGAAGCTTGAGAGAAGGACGCGTCTCCTGACCGAGGAGCAAAATGGGTTTTCGCCTGTTTGAGGGTATTTACCGTGGACGGGAAATAATGCTGCTAATCGCGATATTTTGCAGTAACGCTAATTGGAGCCGTTTTTCTCAATTTGTCAAATTAGCGCAGTGTTCCGTATTACGAACATTAGTCGAGAATCTATCGGGAAAACTGTCCGCCTGTTTTTTTCTATTCCGTTTTATCTTCGGCCGCGGTGTCATGCGTGCGCTATTAATTTAATCACGCGATAACGTCCAATTAA